TCTCTCTCTCGCCATCACTCCTAAAACGTCCTCTGTTTTGTTTTTGTTTTTTTGCTCATAAGCAGAGTGCTTGCTAGCGCTGTCCTTAGACAGTAAACGTGACGAAACTATTGAGGAAAAAACGCTGCGTATATATTGTTTATCATGACTCTGGTTTTACGTGGCCTATCAACACAATTTATAAACTGGTATAAATCACCTTGTTGCTTTGTCTTTAAGCGGTCATGTGATTGGCTTACCACGACTACTTTATTTTTCCTCAGTCAAGCAGCAGCACTCATGCGATTGTTTTGCCCCCTTAGCTCCAGGTGTTGCGCTAGAAAGTGATCGTGAACACTTTCTAGCGCGGGAGTGCGCGCAGCTGCTTAAAGCTGTAGCATCCGTAGGCAGCTACGTCCGTGCAACTGATATAAGATGCAGTAAACTGAACACAGCTTCAACCGTCTGTTTGTTGAAAAATAGTAACGAACCGCATTTTCTTGTTAGTAACTGTAACGACATTGTAACGATAGGAATATTAATTAGTTAGATTATTTCGTTACTGAAAAAAGTAACGCCGTTACTTGTAACGCCGTTATTCCCATCACTGGTTTTTATGCATGCTACTACATGTGCAGTTGCACCAAAAAAACAAAAAACAAAAACCCCAAAAAAAGCATTGTTATTTGCAGATATGTGATATACAACCACAGTTTTACATAACCAAAAAAGCAGAAAGGCAAGCAGAGAGGCCCTCATAAATCCGTATTTTATTCACAATAGAGCACAAAAATATACAAAATGTTTCAACTGAGAAAATGCACCAGTTTGAGAAAAAGAAAATGTCATTTTGAATTTTATGGCGTTGCACATTTCTATAAGCAAGAGAGTGTGTGGAGGTCATAATTATTTATCTAATTATTAGCAACAGTAGACTAACAAGATGTTAACAGTAGCTTTATATTAAAGGTTGTAAACTGTGAAAAAAACAAAAACAATCTTGCTTCATTTTGGTGGTGGTCACCTTACAATAATGAAGCAGTCATCTTATTGCCCTTGAAAGCTATAAGGGGTGTCCAAACTTTTTTCACTGAGGGCCAATTAGGTATAAATTAGGTATATAACCTTAACTTTAGTGTATTAAAGTTAGAAAAATCACTTAAAAGTGGTCAAATGTGTTATATTGTTGAATATAATTAAAGACAAAACTGCCTTCATCACAGCTTTCCATAAATGGATCTTTATTGATTTATTCAGAAAAAGCTTTGGTAGCTCATTCTCAGAACAGCAGCCTCAGATTTCTTCTTAGACAGAGGATTTACAGCAAATATAAATTGTCGATTTTAAAATCCTATGCACAAGTTTTGCAAACAACAAAGTTATTTTGCATCCGTTTAAAACAATAAAGGGGAAAATGGGACGGTACATTTCAAGTTTGTTATTTAAGTTATTAGGCTTAGCAAAACATCTATTAACGTCCGTTAATAGACTGAACTGGACTTAATAACAGGAGTCCATATAATTTTAGTAAATTATTCTGGTGAGTATCAGCTGAGCTGGGTATGTAAATCGGGCCATCCAGCTGCGGCACATTATTTCGGTGACTTTAACGAGGCCGTGTTTTATGAGGTCTCCATCTGAAAAAGCCTTGCCATGTCTTGCGATGAGTTGGGTGTTACGGCCCTAGCAGGGCCTCCTCCTGAGGGTGCCTGTGTGGGCGTGTCCCACTACCTCCTGCCTGAGATGCCACCTTTCCCTCCGGCGCAGCTGACTCCCATCAGCAATTAAGGGTATTTAAGCCCCGTGCAGGGTGAGCTCTGGGCCAGAGTGCCAATAGTGTGGTTATAGCTAGTGAGCTGTGTCTTGTGGTGTTTCCAGCTGGTGAGCTGTGTATTGTGGTTTCCAGCTAGTGAGCTGTGTATTGTGGTTTCCAGCTAGTGAGCTGTGTATTGTGGTTTCCAGCTAGTGAGCTGTGTATTGTGGTTTCCAGCTAGTGAGCTGCGCTTTCCTTTTGACTTTTTGCCTTACTGACCGACGCCTGAGTTTTGTTTGTTTCTTTTGTGGTGATAACGGCTTGTCCGTCTCTTTTAGTTGAATTACTTCAATAAAACTGTTTTATTTAACTGTTTTGCCTCCCTGACTCCTTTTTCTGACCCGGTCACTTTTGTTACTTCCCCCTCACCGCCTAGACCCCTCAGGGGAACGTAACATTGGGCGACCTCATAGCTGGCTATTGGAGCCTTTTCCTGGACAATTTGAGCACGAAAAAAATACTGTTGCTGACCCCGCAGGAGAGCTACCCTTTGCTGCTCTCGCTCAGCACCAGTGTAGGATGCATAGGCCTGATGTTTGGTTTCATAATGACGTGGTGCATTATTTCATAATTGCCACAGTTTCAGTGCAGATCAAACAGATACACTTCCCCTTGAATTATTTGAAGAAATATTCACTCTCCCACCGTGTCTGAAATTTTCTGCACTCACTTTTCTACCTTTCGCTTCTTTGGTTCTGCCATGTTTAGTAACTTGGGGTAAATTTCTTCTGTGATTGTCCATTTTGGTGGAGCAACTGCCTTGATCAACAGCAGCTCCCCCTGGTGTTAAAACTAAGAGGTGCAATACACTCAAGCAAAAGTTGAAGTGTGGGCCATATTCTATTCTATTTACTTGCGGGCCAATTAAAAATGGACCGCGGGCCGCAAAAATATTTGTATACAAAATGACTTTTCTTGGCCTTCAGACAATAATTCTGATTGCTACAGTGCCAGACAGGACACAAAAAAAGGAAAAACAAAAAGACTTTTGTTTAATATGAGGCTCACTATTGACACATTATAGCCACATATTCTCATTCACACATATTTTATTTGAAATTTAATTAGTGTCTGGATTTTAGTTTTGGTAAAAGGCTCTGTTGACAGATGTAATCAGTTTCTTTCTCTTTTTGTAAACAAGGTCGAGTCAGCAATAGTACCTCCTACATGTGACCCGTCCATGTTTAGTCCCTGTTCAGCTGCCAGTTTAAACCTGTCTCAATTACACTTCTTAACGAGATGATTAGTCAAATTAAACCTTCTGGTTCTCCCGTGGATGTTATCCCTGCATGGTTTTTAAAGAGGTTTTCCCTTGATTGGAACCTTAGTCCTTGCCATTATAAATAGCAATATTACTTCCAGTGTACTTCCTGATGGTTTAAAACATGCAATTGTAAACCCTTTATTTAAAAATCCTGGCCTTGACCCTTCAGTTTGCTCAAATTTTTGACCTATTTCAAAATTTCCATTCTTTACTAAATTTTCCATTCAAAGTTATTGGAAAAAAATGTTTTTACCCAACTGAATACGTTTTTACATACTAATGGTATCCTGGAAGTTTTTCAGTTTGGTTTAAACATCTACACTCCACTGAAACAGCACTTTTATGGGTTTTGTAACGATATCTGTTTAGCCAATGATTGTCGAAGTACCGTGAGCCTTGTGCTTTTAGATCTAACTACAGCGTTTAATACTGTTGGCGACAGTATTCTCATCTCTTGTTTGGAACGCCTGGTTGGCATCAAAGGTGTAACACTGGATTGGCTTCGTTCAATAACTTCGTTATTTGAGTGGCAGAACGTTTAGTGTTAATGTTGAAAATTTGAATCCACCTCAGCCCCTCTTTCTTGTGGGGTGCCTCAGGGCTCAATCCTTGGCCCTCTTCTTTTTTCACTGTACGTGCTCCCTTTGGGGTCTATTTTAGAAAACACAAAATATCCTTTCACTGCTATGCAGACGACTGCCAAATTTATTTGCCTTTAGCGCCAAACGGCCCAGGCTCGATTCAAATCTTTCTGAACTGCCTTGAAGATGTCAGAGCTTGGATGGCTCTGAACTTTTTGAGCTTCAATGAGGATAAAATGGAAGTGATTGCATTTAGGCCTAATAATATTTCATGCAACCCGCTTGGGAATTGTGGTTGGCTTGGCTAATTTCAAAGTCCTAACGCTGGTTTATAAATGCCTAAATGCTCCCCCTTACCTTTCCGAGATACTTCAGCCTTATATTCCTTCACGGGCCCTTAGATCAGCCAACCTGCTGCTTTTGGTTGTTCCAAAATCTAGGCTAAAGCGTAGATGACAACAAGCGTCTTCAATTATGACTCCCAAACTTTGGAATAAGTCCCCTTAAATATCAGACAGGCATATTAATTTCCTATTTTTATGTCTCTTTTGAAAAAACACCTTTTTTGATAGCATTTAGACTGGTGTGAGTTGATATGTTTGTTATGTGTTATTATGTGTTTATGTGGGTGTCAGTGGTTTTATCTTGTGTTTTACCCCTTTGTCTCTGTACAGCACTTTGGGCAAACTCTTTGTTTTTAAATGTGCTATATAAATAAATTGGATTTGGATTTTGGTTTCTTTTTCATAAATAACAGCATGCACAGTATAAACTGATGTAAAATAAAATGTGCAAAAAGTCTACTAAATACAGGAAATTAATTCATGAATTATCAAATTTCTTTGTGAAGTCACTCGACCTCTCAATAGCCATGTACAATTGTGATGTCAAACAAAACTATACACTTTTCTTTCTTTCTTTTTTCTGATTGATGTGGATTGAGGAGTTTTAGCCATGGTGAAGTGTCTGGCCATGTTTCATAAGAATCACTCCTCCTACAGTATCGGTCAGATTGTAATGAAATGAGATTAATTTGCGCTGGATATTACTGTTTATGAGCCTTTTTGAATTCTCAATGGATCTTTATTCTTTTTCTGACAAATTAGTTTGTGTAATACAACTAACGAAAAACCTTTGTTTTTTTTACATCATACTAACTTGCGCACTTCAAAGCTACTATGTTACTGATGTTCTAGTGTAAGCTTGACATTGAAAAGAGTCATCAGCAGTTTTTTGAAAGGCCCTTTAATGTTAGATATTGCTGAATTTAAGCAGTTTACACAGCTCACATATCACTTGCCCAACAGTCTTACAATACACCCATAACACAATTTAAAATATTTTTTACCCTTTGCATTTTTTTTTCTTGAGAATATCTGTGATCCAAGGAAGAAATTGTGATATGTCTGTATAGACGTTTGGGACATCTGGATAGTTACAGCCATTGTCGTTGTTAAAGGAAACAATGCCAACAGCCAACTTGTTACATATGAGAGGCCCACCAGAATCACCCTGTGAGGAAGAAATATCAATTATTAATTTATTGTTTTTCAATAATTTTGATGTTTATACTATTTTGATAAGAAAACATGAAAAAAAGACCTGACAGATTCCACTCTTTGCTTTGTATCCACCGGCGCAAATAACATTTTTGGGAATTTGTCCCCACACCTTCTGACACTCGTCCTTGTTAATGATGGGAACATCCAACACTTGCAGCTCATTAACATAACCAGATCGATGTTTACGAGGTTCTGTGGGCCCCCATCCAGCTACACTGCAGATCTTCTTTTCCTTCAGGTTTAGTTGTTGAATTGGAAGTGGAATTAGCTTAATTGGTTTTTTGCCACCCAGGGAAACTTTCTTAGACAGCTGGAAAGATAAAATCAAAAACCTCAGAAAATAAATGATTAAAATTGAAATCAGTTATGAAGATGTCAAATTTGTGTGTATTTAAAGTTCTCCAATATTTGTCTTTGCATGTCTCTCAAACAGATAGTGCATGCACAAATGTGGGTAGCGACTTGCATAAGGCAAATTATTCTAAAATACTATTATTATCGTCTTTGTATTTAGATGTATGAATATATCCAATAATGCGTGACATGTATATTATTGTTACAGCAAAAATAAGAAAAGGTGCTTGTTTGTTTTGTTGTGGAACAAGAAGTAATTTCATGTATTATTATTGTTGCTGTTGGTTTTACCTATACTACAATCAAATGTGCTTTGATTGGTTGAAGCTTAAACAAAATCATGTAATTGGTGATTGATCATGTGGTTTGACAATAAATGCTGGCCGAAAGTGCGAGAAAATGTTTAGGTTTTTTGTTGTTCTTTTAATTATGTTTCTTTTATTTATTCTTTTATTTTTATTTTATACTTTCCTCCCTGTATTAACTATTTTTATTATTGATTGATTCATAAGAACGTCTGATATCCTTTGTGAAGCCGAGGCTGAATAGACGAATACTTACTTTGAGGAGCATGATGTCATTCCCATTTGCAACTTCCTTGAAGGCAGGGTGTCTGCACATCATTTTTACTCCATATCTCATTTTCTTATTTGCCTTCTTGAGATCATGGGTACCCAGAACAACACTTAAGGATTTAAGCTTCCTACATGAATAATGAATGAGAAACCAAAATAATTATTTATATTTAGATGAATGTGACACGCTTTTGGTGGTTACTCACTTAACAGCACAATGCGCAGCAGTCATTACAAAGTCTTCACTGACAAGGAATCCTCCACATGTGTGTATTTTGTTGTTTTGTACTGATGCCATATACTGCATGAACTTTTCATCAGCCTTTTTGCCATTTATGATTTCACTTCCCAGTGCTGAAAATAAATGAAGAAAAAACTGAGAGAAATATCGTTTTTGTATAAATTTAAGAAAAATATTTTACAATCTTACCATTTTGTATGAGGCATGTCACAGCTGTGACTAGAAGACACTTCTGTAGAGCGTGCATGATGCGTGGAAGTCAAGTAAAATGTCGTTGTTTAGGGGGGCAGTTTGTCTGCTTTATGCATCACCTTGCAATGTTTCTGTGGCTTTTCATCAACACGTATATGTTGAGTCTGTGAGTCAATGAAACCACATTTTCCAGCTACACCTTCACGGTCACATGTCAGATGTTAAAGTACTGTAAATGCACACATGTGTGTGTATGTGTGTGCGTGTGTGTGTGTGCATTTGTATATGGGTGCCATCTTCTTGTCACATACCAGAGGACCCCCAGAATCACCCTGTGAGAAAAAATATCTTTATTTGATTTTGCTGGAGACAACAACAACAACGACAAAAATACATAAAATCACAGTCTTGAAATTTTATGAATTGAGATCTTCAAATATATCATGCATATCATATCAACATATAATATTGTAATAAATGAGTTGATGAACACTGAAGTTAAAGAGTTATTTACTTACTTTGAGAAGCATGATATCATTTCCAGATTTAGCATTCTTGTAAGAAGGATGCTTGCACTTCTTTTTTATTTGATATATCATGGTCTTCTCAGCTTTCTTGAGATTGTGGGTGCCCAGAACAACATTTCCTGCATTGATAATAATTAAGAAGTCTGCAGAAATATTCATATTTAGGTGATGAACAGATTCCTTGTAGGATCTTAGTAACTTACCAATCATCACAGTGTGCAGCAGTCAATACGAAGTCTTCACTGACAAGGAATCCTCCACATACGTGCCTTATCCTGTGTTGCACTGATGCCATATACAGCATTGAACTCTTCTTGCTGCAAAGAAATGAAAAAAAAGAAAAAAAGAATAACAATTATCTCGCATTCTTTGAAAAAAAGATAAGATACTAAATTCTTACCATTTTGTTTGAGACAACTAGTTGGTAGGAAGAGCAAAAACAGTTGCAGAGTGTACATTGTGCCTGTGAGGTGCAGTCATTAAGGGGTGCAACTTTATGCATCACCTTGCAGTCTGTCTGTGGTTTTCATTAACAACACATCTGGTGTATTTCTCTTCTGAAACTTTTGTCAGACATTTATCATTGCAGTCTTTTTTAAGATTCTTTTTGTGGTTTTTATTTTGATCTTTAAAGTCCTGTACCCTCATTATTAAATGGACTTACATTAAATTAACCGAAAAGTATTCCCATTTTCTCTTTGTCATTTTCTCTAGCAGCATGAAAAATCACACCTTTAAAACTGTAAAACGTACACGAGCTGTTGACGTTTTTTTCTTTTCCAGCAAGAGGTCTAGCTGTTCAAAATGTTACTCTTTAGTTTGATTCAAATAAGTGATTCTAATTATGCTGATTACTATTGTGAGTGATGCAGACTTAATGCAAACACATGCACACTGCACCTGATAGGGTGCTTTCAATTGCTAAAAATGTATATTAATAAATATGTCACACATTTTTACATTTTATGTCAGATGTTTTATTACATTTTTCCTCTTTCCATAGTGTTGTTGCTCAATACGTCATGATATGTTGCAGAGGGCAGCAGAGTTCTCTATAAAGCTTTTAGAGAGGCTTATAGGGAACTGTAAAAGTGGACAGATAGAGCAACCATCAGAAGGTTGCTGGCTCAATCCTCTGGGTTTTCATCAACAGGACTTCCTTCCTTTCTATTTCTTTTCTTTACACATTCATTTATTTATGACTCTTTTTATGGTTTTATTTTGGAGTTTAAAGGGAACTCTGGACCTCTCACTACCAAGTGAACTGATGTTTAATGAGGTTTAAAAGCGCAACTGCTCGCCTTTTTTCTTGTTTTCTGTAGCTGTGAGAAACATCACACTTTGAAAAACTGTGAAAACTAAATGAGTCACTAAAGTCACAGTTTCCAGCCACACCTTTGCACAGATATTAAACTAGTTAAACTAGTCTGTCTTTTCAAAACGTGGTGCAAAATTCAAATAAAAGTAAGTACAGTAAGTAAAAGTCAGTAAGTAAAAGTCAGTAAAGTTTACTGCAATTTCATTCATTTGTAGGGCTGTCAAGCAAATACACATACAGAGATATATTATATACACACACTGAAATATTTACACTACACCTTATCAATCAATCAATATACATCACAAATCAGTCTTATTACATATACTTGGTTTGCAGATATTGTTCTTCCAATATCTGCAAACCATCAAATGTCATATTCTACATGTGTACAGCTCAACTGTTGCTAAATACATCATAATTTTGAGCATAAAAAAGTTCATAGGTCACTAAGCTTTTGAGCTGCTCTGCTCTCTGACCATCAGAGGGAGCCATACATCCATCACTATAAAAGTGATGGATGTAAAGTCACAAATGGAGACGCTCAAGCTGTGTTTGTCTGTCTTTTATGGAAAAAAGCAGTAATCAAGTTATTCCATTGCAGTTATGAACAAATGTTAATCTTTATTTCATTTATTTTGATTTTAAATGTCATTATTCAACGTTTGCCAGAAAATACGAGACAGCTCTGACACTGAAACATTAAATAACTGAGGATATCTAGATTTACTTACTCCTCTCCATTTATATTATTAATATTATAATCCTGAATGGCTCGTTTTTGGATGTGTGTGTATGTCTCTTACTGGCACTTCGATAGTGGAAGGTGTCTGTCCTCACTAGCTATTAAACCAACTGTATTATGAATAGGCACAAGAATGTAGAAAGGGACACATAGTCATATGCTAAAAAAAAAAAGAATCATTATGAGATGCACTGGTTTCTTTTATGCAATGTTCAAAGCTTAACAGAGCGGGATGGATTTGTCGTTGTCTTTGGTATTTTCAGACATGCCGGTTGAAACTCCCAGTTGTCCAAAAAGTCAGAGTCCCCATTTACTCTCATTTCGATGCAAAAAAATGGCCTCTAAGCCAATTTATCTCTTTATAAAAAAGTAGTATGGAGAGTCTTTTTTTACATTTTGGAAGTAAGAGCCGTGGTAGCTTTGATTGATAGGTGTCCCAGCGGCCTGTCTCTGCTAATTCCGTGTCCAAAAACCTCGTAATGTCACTTCTGACTCTATTTGTATTATAGTCTAATAAACATTCATACTACAGGATACAGAAAAAATGTCATTTTTTTGCATTAATCCTTAGTAAGATTTGACTGGAAGATTGTTTCTCTGCAGATGTTGGATGCAGCATCCTTAGGTTTTTCCAGCCAGTGTCAAATTCTCTCCGCAACTATAATGATTAAAGACCTTTACACATCACGATTGCTGCGTGACACAACATGTGGGTTTTTAATCCAACACTAACCTCAGCTGCAGAAAGCAACGACATTTTGATATTGTGCATAAATGTCATTAAAGGACACCTGTTAATCTTTGAAGTTGGAAAAAAACCCCACAGTGCTGAAGAAATATCACCATGCGTACAGTGACAAAACACAGAGGCTGTCTAGCTTCACTGGCATGAAGAATTTCTTCACACACGGCACGAATTGAGCAGTAGGGTGGATAGGTTTGGCACAGCGCAAACTTTGCATGAAGTGACTGACTTTGGTCTTTTCCCTTTACTAACAGCCAAAGACAACCTCACGATGTTGACTGGGACTCAACCCAACATGTGGCCTGCCTAAGCTGACCAAACTATGTAGAAGGTTCCCCTTTAGCCTTTTTTTTTCTTGTTTATTATCACCTTTTCATTTGTGATCTTTCTCTAATAATGGTACAACTTATGTTCTTTAAGCAAATAAAAA